CAGCAGAAAATAAGAGGTAATTGATACATCAATGGCTTTTCTCTTTTGATTTGATTTTTTTGATTCGATTTTTGGGAGATTATTTTCTCATACATTGCGTGTTAGTGGGCGAGCGAGGTATATATAATGCTGATGCACGACTTTGGAAAACACCATTTCCATACTTACTCAGATTCATCTATCACTCTGTCCTCAAGCGTTGAGCAGTAACAGATGACAATGCAGAATATTAGCCAATTGATTTGTTTGATCGTCTTTTTGATGTTAGTGGCTACAAGCTGCATGGCATGGACTGTAGAGAATCAAGTTGGGACCGATAACATTCCCGATCAATTAATCAACAAGCGTAGTGCTTGTAATAATGATAGTGGTTGTACTATGAGTTATTCTGGTGCTGCTACTACTTGTGCTGGTTCTACTCCTGCTTCTATTACTATTCGTTATAGCTGTGCTGCTGGTTATGCTCCTAGTGTTCCTGGATGTACTATTACTTCTCGTGGTCCTACTCGTCCGTGGATTATTACTAATAGTACTGGTATTTATAGTTATTTGTTTTATAGTAGTATTGATTATGCTTGTCCTTATAAAATTTCTATTGATATTAATACTGTTGGTCATATACTTGATGGTCCTGTTATGAAGCCTTTGGTTGGTTAATAAGCCAGGTATGTTGTGTCAATAAATTCGAGCACAAAAAAGCCCTACTGGCATAAACGACGTCATATGTTCCGATTTAAATTCAAAAACGTTAAAATCGCTCACCCTGGTAGGTGTAATAGTACTAAGAAATGAAACAAAGTTTGAATTCTGAGAGTGAGATGAAAAAACAATTTAGTACTTACTGCTCAGCTGATTTCAGTGAACCACAAAGAAATAACAGATCAATAACAAGCACGGTTTGATACATTTTCAGTTCGACTATCTACTGTAACGAGAAAAGTGTATGAATGATACAGTGTAACATGCAGAATGATGTTTTTGAATCTACGAAATAGAGAAGTAACGAAATACATTTTTCTGATGAACATAACTTAATATATTTCATAGACTCCATAGTAATATTAGTTTCCTTCGATTTTCACTTTCATACTGGCGTACTGGAAATTTGGATTTTGAGTTTATATTTTAAATTCTAGGATAATTGAAATCGTACAGGTTTTTTGAGAACTCTTCTTAACACTCTTTAACAATGTCGTAAGGTTGCGTTCTAATCAAATGTAATGCAGGCATCCATAAGGTAATTCTTCATGTGACTAGTTTAATTTTAACCCTGTTATTTATTTTGACAACTACATAGGTCTTAGGAGTTCTGTAAAAAACTGACAAAAATACGGACAACTGAACATCATTTTTAAAACATAAGTCTCGGTCGTTTGCCTCCGATAGATTCATCTACAACTGCTCCATGTAGCTCTACTTGGCTTATACTAGTTTACGGTTAAAGTTTACTGCCAACTTTCGAACTGTTGTAATGGCAAAAACTGACGATGATGATGAATTCAGCGTTTTCAAGGCCACAGTTCGTCAGAAAAAAGAAAAAGAACAGAAGTTTATGGGATAAATGTGTTTTGATCACCAATTCAATTAAAGAAATTTAAATTAAACAAAACATATTCAAGAAGACTTTATAGTAATTTAATAGAAAACTAATTACTGGACAGTATAAAGAAGAAGAATATATATACAACAAGAAATATGAACAAAGTAGAAAAAACTACTCACCAGACCAATTAACGAAAATATAAATTAAAGAAGAAATGTACAAAAAAAATGCTAACTTTACAGCAATAAAGCTGTACGACCTTTACCTTTTCTCTTACCCGATGGTTCACAACGTGTTTTGTCCGTCACCTAGTACATGTTGAATACAATGCCTGATCCAGCTGAATGTTTGCAGGTGTATTGCTTGAGACCAATTGGACACGATGTAAGCGGTGACACTAACCAACATGATGTCTGCCATATCACAAAATCGTCAAATGATGCCCATTGACTAGAGCGATACAAATCCAACCAAACTGACGTTGTTATTGTTGTCGTGGATGATGGAACAACATAAAATGTATTAAATCAATGCGAAATATCAGATCGATTTATACTTACTGACCATTTGTAAGCATGCAGCTCCGTATCAGGAGATATACTTGTAGCAGCAGCAAATGGTGATGAAATACTTGCCTTTGACCAATCCGTTAGCATTTGTTCTATTTTTGGTAGAAACGCCGATAGATGTAACTTATTACGGAGTGTATATTTTTGTTTTATAATGGCATTCGTCGATTCACAACCATTATTCGTGGATGGTTTACCAAACGCAGCACCCTCGTACCTAAATGACAGCAACTGGGTTAGTCTTAAGCATACACATTGATTCTATTTTCCTACCAATAGGGTAATTTTGTTATCCATTGATCGACGAAGTAATCCGAAAATGTCTTCGTAGCTGGAGTGGCACTCCGTTTTTGTATTAGTAAATCTATACCACGATTGAACACCTCATCTGAAAAAGAAAGCTGAACGACATATATATCTACATCAATACTTACCCACAGTTCTTTTGTGACTAAATTCCGATGTAGTCAGCATTTTTGGATCATGTGGAACTAGCAGATCATACGACGACTGTGTGGAAACACTGTCTGTGGAGAACTTGTGATACCTGAACAATAAGCGGAATATATGGAGATAAACGAAAGATAAAAGATAAACAATAGTTGTGGTGTTTCCTTGAATTGTTACGCAGTTTCAAACCGTTACTAAATTCCCCATCTTCTAGTGATGGATGCTTTTTCTATTTCTATCATATGTTCCTTCATGGCTTATTTAACGCACTGCTGACAAAAAACCCACTTGTTCACGCACAAATACTACAAATACCTACCAATACCTGATTAGTCATGTTCGAAATTAAGCGATAAAAGCACATAAACAATATCCCATATAAGAATAGCCAAGACATATCTGTCCGTCTGTCTGTCTGGCCGGAACGCTCCCAATACACTAAACAGCGCCAACGTATTAGGTAAAACCCAAAACACAAACGACTTAAAAACTTGACCAGAGGGTAACCGCGGATAGAGAATCCGAATTCGAGGTCAGATTTCAATTAGATAATTATCCTAATTAGACTAATTAGCCAATTTTCGACTTTATAGAAACTGGTAACATAGAAAATTTTTACAAAATATACGGATTCTGTGCGTCCGTGGTTTTCCACGAGTTATTTCTAGTTTTGTAATAAGTGAATAACAATACATTTTCTTATTAAACATGTAAGCGGAAGCAGATATTTCGTAGATGTAGGACGTTCGATTGGAGCCAGAAAATTTTACCACAGAATTATTGTGAACCACAAAAGGATTATTTCGGAAAGCGCGGCATGTCCTTATTAGTGGGATCATTGGTCTGAAAAGACAATTCTTCAGTTATAACAACAACAACTGCGACAACTACTCCATTTAGAACAGCTTCGTATATAGTAACCCTCACTCATGCGAACCAAACCGTTCTGGGTTCTCTTAGTGCTGGTGCATTAATCCTGAAGCAATTCAAAGACGATCATCCAGTACAATGAAACTACACAAAAGAACGGGTAATGCCAGTAACTTTTCATCGCACTCAACGGCTGAAGCTGAACGTATCATTTTTGATTAGGTAATTGTTGTGACACTACTTTGCGCTGCTGTACATCGGCATAATCGAAATTTTCGGGTTTAGTTGAGTACAGAATTACTGTGCAGGAGCTACAGTGAAGTCCAAAAAGGAAAGAATATATGTGATCGTATAATAGGTGTATCGAAATCTCGTTTACGTGCATGCGAAAGTAACGGACATGATATACAAAACGCAGTTGATATAAAAGAAGGATCTGAATATGCAGGTGAAATTAGGCATGTACCAATACCAATCGTTATTGGAGATATTGTACAATACTATTGGGTATCCAATAATATTCGGATCCAATAATATTGGTCACCCAATCTATTGGAACCAATAATATTGGTCATCCAAT